CCAAAGGTTTCTCCAAGTATATCTGCGTGCTAAAACGACCAAAGAAGCTCAGGATCCTTTGGGAATATAATACAGCGAAGATTGTAACTAAGTTACTGTATTGCTTCTTTATATATTGTGGTTTTATCCACTAAAACCATTTCCACTAAGATCTCGAAGTTGTAACTATATTTACAAAGTACCGAGTGCATTAAAGAAGTCATGGTCCCTTACAACGACTGTTGTAAAGCTACCAGTGGTTATGTACTTAATGTAATAAATTCGCCTTTATATATTGTAACTGAGGTCGTAGGTTCGATCCCTGGTTGTGCACTAATGGACTTTCTTTCTATGTGCGCATTTAACACTTGCTCGTACGGTGAAGGAAAACATCGTGAGGAAACCGATATGTCTTAGACCCAAAAAGTCAACGGCGTATGTCAGGCACAGGATGCTGATGATTTTAAATCTATTCAGAATAATACAACTACATTTTTCAGGTAAACCCACCATGATATTCATTGTATTTATTCACTTCGGTTCTGGCTTTTAATAGTATTCAAGTTTCATATTAATTGTAACTTGTTATACATTGCATTACGTCAATAAATTTGAAACCAGACGGGACTTGCAGTTGGCCTACTATATACTAAAAGTCTTGGTGGTGTGCACCCCAAGCGTACTCCAAGAAGGTTTTTGTACTTATGGGATATGCGACGGAAGGGCCAGAACCGCCTATTAGATTTAAAAATGATCATGAAAACGATTCAGAAATCTGAGGCCCAGACCTACAGAGGTTGTAGCGCCACTATTTTTTTATAAACGTTAAATAAATTGTTTAAATCTATTGTATAGAATAAAGGTAATAATTACGAATGGAACCATTGTACACCTTAAGTGCTTAATACAAATAATATTCTATTAATTCTTTCAACAGACGATCCCACGTCCCACGGCCCAGGCCGTACGTAATAATTTCATTGCGGTCTGTAATTAATTGGGGAATTGGCCCACTCTAAGTGTTCTCTATCGGCAACTTGTGGGCTGAGGGTACGGTTATAACGGCTTTTGTGTTATTGTTTATTATATTTAAGATAATTTAAGCGAAGTCTCGTAACAGCCAAGCATAGAATAGATGTCTTTCAGTGAGTTTCACAGACACATTTGCAATCCAATAAAATAAATAACATGCTCATTTATAATTCAGCTCCTTCCTCTCCGAATCATGGCAGCGTTAAATAGAACAGCTTCCCCCATGAAAAAAGGGTACCTGCACTTCTGGTGCTGGAGTATCCATCCCTATGTGTACTCGCTCAGGCTGGACCGCGTTAGGGGCATACTGCAACCTCAAAGGCCGGCAATGCATCCACAAAAATGGGTGTTTCCATGGGCTGCGATGACTGGGCTTTATGGGCGTCCGTAGGCTTGTTTTCTTCCCTATATAAAAAAAACTTTAAAACATTTCACAGCTAAGAAAGTCTGTGAATGATGTCTTTTAAGTACGTGACTACACAATTTACCCAAGCCGTGACCATGCGTATTGCAATACACTCTAAACTTCGGGATAGTTTTGTCACTATAAAATAAATATTACATTTATTTTAAGTAATTTATAATTAAGTTTGTTATGGTACACACACAGGTATTTTTTTACTTAAAAGGGTTCCCAAATCTTACACATTATAATGCATAATGTACTTATAATTAATAAACACATTTTTATTTTATTTATTAATATTATTATTTTGAATTTAATAAAATCTAAGCGGTCAACCGCAAACAAGTCATCATTATCGTTTATAGCAGGAAAAGGGTGATTCCTATATTTTTTGTTTCCAAGCATCCGTGTTCTCTAATGTCTTTTTTAAGAGACAGTACAACGAAGAGGTTCCAAAAAAACTAACCTTCACACACACATTCTCATGCACGCACACGCGTTCACAAACTCATGTACTCACGTATACTCAAGGTCTTATTCGATTTGTTCTTTAATTAGAATTAACTTGTAGATAACTTTGTCAAAAAACATAACTTTTGAATATTTCTACATTGTTTTTGCTTTAAACATACCTACCTCGTACCAAGTTAGACTAACAACATTGGGGTTTCCTAGCTTAGAGACTCGCATCTGAACTCATAATTTCAGCCTGGATGCAGGTCCAGACTGTCTCCCCAAATTTCCAGTACGACCGGTTCCCCGCGCTTAGTATCCAACGCCGACCGTCCACCCTCGCCAGATCATCTGTCCACGTAGTGGGAGGCCGTCGCTTCACCGACTGGTCCTCGGCCATGGGTTCTACGGGCAATGTGACCCGCCCATTGGCATTTAAGGTTGCACGAGCTTATTGCTATGTTATTGTCTGTAGTTCTTCTACGGATCGAACGCTTGGATCTGAATAATACTTACAACGATATTTTGTTTTAAATAAAGATTTGAATGTCCTACGGTATTACTGTGGGGTGCTGTTGCAGAGGTTCAATCTATATTTGTGCTGCAGAAGCGGGCTGTTCGCGGGATTTGTTGTGTTTCCCCATGGGAGTCGGTACGGAATAGTTTAAGGAATTAAATATTTCGCCACTATCTGGTCAAAATATTCTTGATCTTGTTCCAGTTCAAACATTTGTATGACTCAAAACTTTGCGATTAAAAATAATGGCGGAGAGTTTCTTGCCAGTTCTTCTTGCCCGCTCTACGCTCTTGATTTGCGAACTGGTAGTTAATGTAAATTTAGAATCAATTTAACATGTTTTCTGTTGAAGTTCATAAGTGTACTTGGTTACCTATATGAATAAAGTCATTTTGAGTTTGATGTTTAAAGTACATTATGGACGAAATTAACACTTCCTCGTCCGTCCATATCGTTTAGGTTCATATTGCCAAATTTATCTGATACATGCACATAGAAATAATTGGTACACGGCTGATGATTGAACATCGTAGAATCGCGTGCCAGTAACAACGAACGTAAATATAAAATGCAGTTTGCATGAGGTGATGCTTTGAAGATTCACTGCGGTTGTTATATTAAAATGCAAGCTATTTCCTTTGAGCTTGGATTTCTTAACTTTACTAAGCGCTGTTCACATGGCTGGCTTTACATTTACAAAAATGAAGACTTCTTTATTAAAATGAATGTTGTTTAAAAACTGAAAGCTTAAAATTTTCGTAAAACATTTGTAACATGAGTAGATAAATTTAAAAATACTTATCCAGTAATAATAACGATAATGGTAACTTCTTTCTTCGTCACGTAGTAGTAGCTGACTTGACGTGGTTTCTATGATTTTTCTATTTATTTATTACAGAAATACATACATTATCCTTACAGACTTTGCCAATTCGATAATATCGAGAAAAAAACGTGTGTGTACTCATGTACACGCGTTAGAAGTTATACTTCTTTGGCGTAACAAGATATAAATCTTTTTAAAAAATTTATCTTTCGCTATACGTTTGTAGAAAAAACGACACTAACAATAGAAAATAATTTACTCTCATCATTTTTCCCTAACGCGCCAAAAAAAGTATAACTTTAAAAATAAAATAAAATATAATAAAGTTTTATATTAAACATACACAATATCGCTACTGTGAATTCACTCTCCGAACATATAAATATGTCGATAGTGTCGTAGACAGCATTCAGCTGGCGCAAGGTCTTTGTTTATGAGGATCTGTGCAACAAACTGGTTCTGGCCCTTCCGTCGCATATCCCATAAGTAAAAAACCTTCTTGGAGTACACTTGGGGTGCACACCACCAAGACTTTCAGTATATAGTAGGCCAACTGCAAGTCCCGTCTGGTTTCAAATTTATTGACGTAATGCAATGTATAACAAGTTACAATTAATATGAAACTTGAATACTATTAAAAGCCCAGAACCGAAGTGAATAAATACAATGAATATCATGGTGGGTTTACCTGAAAAATGTAGTTATATTATTCTGAATAGGCTTGGAAATTTTGAAACGGTCCAATTATTCTAATTCCCCTTGCGGCTAAAACCTTTCAAACATACCATCTGTTTTTGCTATCAAACAAATTCAACAACCTTGTTGGACAAAAATAATATGAACGAAATGCTGACTCAATGGACGAGTGACACGTCTATTGCTTCCATTGTTTTATCTATATTTATGTATATAATGTTGATATTTAAATAAAATCTGATGCATGAAATTTAATAGAGTTTGTTAACTTGCTTACTTGGGTAGTGCTAGCAAGGAGATTAGGGGCCTTCAAGATAGAGCTCCATTTCCTCAAAGGGTGGCAACACACAAGCCACCAGGCGTTGCAAGTGTATAGGCGGCTGTTTGTAAAAGTGCTATAGAATAATGATTCAAAGTGACCTGTCTGCTCATTTGCTTCCTGTCACGTAAAAAGGAGTTTTGTCAGTTCTATGCACTTTAAGAACTGGCAGTAACTATAAATTTAGAAGATGTGCCGTTTATATAAAGTGTGCGTGTTGAGAGCAGTGATGGTCTAGTGGCTTTAGCGCGACACTCATCCCTACGGTCATAGGTTCGATCCCAGGCTGTACACCAATGGACTTTCTTTTTATGTGCACATTTAAGAATCGTTCGAAAACATGTGAGGAAACCGGCTTGCCTTAGACCCAAAACATCGACAGCGTGTTTCAGGTTTCAGGCTGATCACCTACTTACCTATTAGATTGATAAGAAAAAGATACAGAAATCTGAGACCCAGACCCAAAAAAGGTTGTAGAGCCACTGATTTATGCTAGATTTAATTTAGCATTTTTGTTTAAATGCATGCGTCATCTTGCCGGTGCTTACTTTATATCTATAAATACATAAATCTCTACCCAAAACCTATACAGAAATAATTACAAGACGTTCGCAAACTGAGCCTTCAAATATCTTAGGGGCTATAAAAGGGGTCCGACCCGCGTAAACAGATTAACAATTTACATGCGTATATTAGGAACTCTGAATGTATTACACGTTGTTAGCAGTTTCCCGTTCACATGATATACCGTTTGTCAGGGACCTCGTAAACTATGTTTATGAGCTCACAAATTGAAATGTCCGAGCCTACGATTCGGACTAGTTGTCTAATGACGGTCCAGCATAAAGTACCCTTGAGCTACACTTTAAGATGTTTCTGGTTTATTGTTTTACGTAACATTGGTAATACCCTAAGAATTCTTATTTATAATACTAATAAACTGCCAAAATATATGTAACCTCAAACCTGCAACTTTGATTTTGTTCCCTTTGGAGTGGGGTATCTTGGGCCGTGGGGTTCAAGTGGACTTATTAAAAATTGAATACAATTTCCATATAAGTGGTTTATCTTCTGGAGTCTGGTTGGTCGTATGCTTAAATTAGTTCTGTTTCGAGTATTATGCTGGTGAATTCATTTGTTTTAAAATCGTTTATATTGTTACATACAACAAGGCTTCAAGAATATATTGACCAGATCACTCAGACTTTAATGGAAAACTTTGTATACTCTACTGTATCTAGTAAAATTGTTATTTTTACAGTACCTTTCTTAGCTTTTAATTAAATCTATGCCCGTCTTAAAATCTTTTTAAAGGGCCTTAACTGGTTTCTTATTGGACTCATACTACCGCATACAGCATAAAAATCAAGAATAATACGTCAATGTAGTGCAGTGGGTGAAACCGCATAATCACGATATTACTGCCCATCACAGACCACATTGAAACAACCACAATCTCAAGACCTAACGAACCCTTTCCGATTAAATGAATCGGAAGCACGTGTAATTGCCGTTGAATTTATGTGGCCAATCAGTCTCCGGTTGAAATGGATTCATTGGAAATGTTATGGGCTAGTGCATATTATTATATCGGTTTAAAAAAAGGGAAATATGTCCCGGAATGTGGCTTTTGTGAATGTGAATTCATTTTGCTCTGAAAAATGCAAAATCAAATTTATCTTGGACGATTTTCCAAAATAATAACTGATTTTATGTAGGTACTTTATCTCCGTAGTACGCAAAAAAGGACTCACATTTTTCAAATCATCATCATCATCAATGGCTGTACCATACTGGTTGTACCATACTGGCTGTACCATACTGGTTGTACCATACTGGTTGTACCATACTGGTTGTACCATACCATACAGCATTTGATGCTGTACCCTTGTGGGCCTTAGCCTCCTCAAGTATATTTCGCCATCGCAATGCTTCTTGCGTCTTTGACAACTCCATCCCATCAACGCCGCCTCGGTCTACTGGGTTTACTCATGCCACTAGGTTGTGAGTAAAGACCTTGGGATTCTGTCGTCCACCATTCGGTGCACATGTGCCAATCACTTGAGCCTATTGCGTTTTATGAATTGGACGATGTTAGCGTCGCCAAGGATGTTATAAAGTTCTTCGTTATTACACCAAACTCAGTCATCGCATACAGAGCCAAAAACTCTTCGAATAATCTTCCACTGGAAAATAAGGAGAGTAAACTCGTCATTCTTGCTAGGGGTCCAGGTTTCAGAACCATAAGTGAGCTGTGGTCGCAGCAGAGTTTTGTACAGAATATATTTCGAATAGTACATATATATTTACCAAATATATCGAAGACGAGAAGAAGATGAAGTAAATATATATGTAGTTTGTACCGAACGAAGTTGAAGAGACAATCTCAAGTTTATAAGAGTAACTTTGTACGTAGCTGCAGTTTACCTCGCACATCGTATTAAACTAGGAAATTCCATGTTTAACGATTTCACTTAAAATGAATGTGCTTTACAGAGGTGTTCCTCCATCACGATTCGTTGTTGTTGAACGTAGGCGAACAGCTGGATATGGTGCGGGAGCTGCTCACTCAAATCCCCAGGAGACACTCCGGACTTGGGTCACCTGGTTCGGGCCTCGGTGCTGCATTACAGGCTGCTTATAAACTTTTGGTGAGATGATTTTCACAGCCTGACAGCAATTTTTATAATATTATTTTACAGTATCGTACGTATTAAATTTATTTGTACAATTGGTGTAATCGATAATAAAAAATCTTATCATACTTTATAATACTAGTTGCAAAATGTCTTTGTGTAAATAAGCATTAAGCAATAGATAACATTAATTAATTACTGACGTCAACTGACAAATAATTACGTTAATTATAATAGCTAGCAAGTAGTTTATTTTAATTATGCTCTAAAATATCACACATATACAAGGATTGTCCTTAAACAAGTATAAAATATGTAAGATATAAGAACACGTGTGAAAATGACATAAAAACTTACTAATCAGACGCAGCGCTACCCAGATCCATGGTTGCAAGGAAGTTGTTCCTCGCAATCGAGTAGCCCGCGTTATTGCGGCACACAAATCCCGAGGGGACTTTTGTATCAAAGAAGTTTCATGGCCGCCGAGCGTCCGCGAATATGCAAACAATGTAAATTCATTAATAGCAATTAAATAAAAAATGAATGAAAAAGTAAATAATTAAGAATGCAAGGTTGCTAAAACGACTCTTAATATGATCTGGCCTGCAATAAACTTCTTGTCTTTCCAAATTCAATTACTGCTATCGCAGTTTTGCTAGTCTTTTTTTTATATAACAGGTGGCAAATGGGTAGGAGGCTCATCTGATGTTAAGTCATACCGCCGCTAATAGTCCCATTAACAGAAGGTTCGCAAGTGCGTTGCCGTTTTAAGAATTGGTACACTCTTTTCTTGAAGGACCCTAACTCGAATTGGTTAGGAAATACTTCAATGGGCAGTTGGTTCTACACAGTGGTGGTGGGAGGCAAAAACTGCTTTGAAAAACGCTCAGTTGTAGAACGACGGGCGTCGAGGTGATACGGGTGGAATTTCGTGTTCTGCCTCCTAATCTGTCCTAGTCCTAGTCTGATCGAGACTTGTAACATAATTTAAAGGCAATTTACTATATTTAACCACAACAAGTTATAAACACGACATTTAGACATATACCTACATAGCATTTAGTAGTAATAAAACTCAAACACACAAAATAACAATAATAAAAAAATACAAAAGAATGAGAGATAACTATTTTTGAAGGGAAACTTCTTTAGGCTAATGAGGGTAAAATTTTTACGGATGAAACGCAATAATAATATTAGCGTCACGAAGATGTGCAGCGTTTTTGTCGAAGAAAAGGGAGAGAACGATTAAGACCGATTGAGAGGGAGTGAAAAGGGCGAATTACCTTATAGAAATTCTATTTTTAAAATTAAAATTTCGGAAAGAGAATTTATGAAATATTAATAGTTTATATTTTATGCAAAATAATTTATTGAAATCTCAAATGACGAGTAAATTAAAATGCCACGTGTTTTTATTATCAAAGAAATAAATTTACAAAATTAAATACATTATTTGTATTAATTTTCGAAACTTAATATTGTAATGACGATTAAATTCCTAACATATTTCCCTCCCTCTAAGTCTCGGAAATCTAAAGTTTTAGATTTGTATAAATATGAACAAGAGTTAAAAATTAGTTTGCCAAAGAAGTTTCACTTCTGACATGTGTACTTTGTACGCACGCACTTTTTTTCTTTTAAAAAACAAGGTAAGTTTTAAGTGTGTAATGCGTGAGTTCTGTGGTTGTAATTGGCCCTGCCTAAGTACTATGCTAAGGAGCAGACTGTTCATTCTACAGCGCTGGTCATTCTGCCAGAGACCACAGCAGCTAGTTTGCGCTTCAGTCGCAAAAAAAGAAAAAGAATGTAATAATACTAAAGCAATACAGAAATAAGTATTGCCAATTCTGAAACGACTTTTTTTTCTTTATACCTAAGTGTGTTCACACATCGTCAATTGTTGAGTCCAAAACCTCTTTAATTCGTTTTAAACCTGAATAGACTCTATAGTATTCTGTATAGGAGATGGTAAAGCTCAGAACGGTTAGCGGTGTAATCTAAAACAAACCTAATGTAACAAAATCACGTAATTCATTACTTTGTAAGAGTCGAACCACATATTGTTTATTTAGAGGAAACTCATAGCAGTGCAGCGGGTTCCGCAAATGTTGACACGGGGCAATATTGCTCGCCGCTTTTTGTACTGTTTGCCGGCGTTTATTGAAATGAATCAACGTTTTTAGTAGAAGCTCTGTGGCGTGTGAAAAAGTAATCGAAAAAGCCTTTCCATTGACAGCTTACATATAGATGAAAGTACACAATTTGTCGACTTTTCGTATCATTAAATCGAGATTGAGAATACGTATTAATAAGGTTATCTCAAATATTTAGCAGCAGTATTGGCTTCAGCGTGCGCCTCTCATACCTGAGGTCGTACGTTCGATCTCCGGCTGTGCACCGATGGACTTTCTTTCTATGTGCGCATTTAACATTGGCTCGAACTGTAAAGGAAAACATCGTTAGGAAACCGACTTACTTTAAACCCAAAAAGTCGACGGCGTGTGTCAGTTACAGGTTGATCACCTACTTGTCTATTAGATTGATAAATGATTATAAAACAGATACAGAAGCCTGAGGCCCAGACCTAAAAAGGTTTAAGCGCCCACGGATTTATTTTATTTCTTATCTCAAATATTACGAAAGGATGGAATAGTGTTGGCCTAGTGGCTTGAGTGCGACGGGATGCGGACAAGGCTACGTTGTTACCATGTCCTACCTCGGGCGATTGCTGGTGGGGCCGTGGGGTTTTAATGGGTATGCACCGTAGCGAGTTTCACATAATCGTCAACCACAAGGCAGTCGCGCCGGAAAGGCTTGAGCATGTAACCCTTAACCCAGCGGTCGTGGGTTCGACGGCGGGTATTCAATGGAGTTATCCTACTATTTGTGCATTTATCGCTCGCAGATACGGCATACTAAACATCGTACGACGTAAAACCCTGCAGCCTTTCACCCAAAAGTCCATGGCGTCTGTTAGGCACTGTGGACTGATCATCTAGTTTAGAAAAATTATTACGAAACTGATAAAGACATCTGAGACCAAGGGTGGTATTTATTTTATTATAGACGGAATACATTTTCTCCAATTAATCGCTTATTTATAAATGAGTAGTATGGATTCCCGGGCACTGCCTCACCCACTGCTTCGGTAAAAAAAGCTGTTTCGGAGGCAGCGCCCGCCTAAAAAAAAAAAAAAAAAAAAAAAAAGTTTGTACTCTAACCCCACTAAACAGGACGTGTGGAGTCGAATGCACTCACTCCTGTGAGTGAGTGATAGCTCTAACCGTTCCAGAGATAGCTTTCCCAAAACCTTGCTAATTACTTACTAATCACCACCTTATCAGTTACTATTTCCTGCACGAAATCCCCACTCATTATCTAATTACTTAATGACTCAGTACGAATGCATCGTTATCTACTTTCTTACATTCACTAACCCGATCTATGGCTCTAAAATAAAAATAGAATAAACTATATCTAACCTAACCTAACCTACGGGTCTAAGCAAACAACAATAAATATACCTACATTAACACCATTATCTATAATAAAATTAGATGTAAGGGTTACATATTTAAATAAAACATTTTTATTCCAGGTATTATTCTTTTATTTATATGTCCATTATATTTCTATACAAATTTACTAGCACCGTATCATTGTTCTCTGAGTCACACGTAAAATTTCTAAGGAAGTCTTCTAATCTCATCCCCCTGAACTTGTAATATATGTATACCAAACAGTACTCTCCGCACACCGCCGATAGGTAATCCTGAACCGTAAGGCTATTGTATCTCCACATGCAACAATTCCTCCTTAAAAATCCTTCTATTGCTTCAATAGGTTTACGTCCAAACGAATCAAAGTATTCCCCAACTCTTTCGACGTTTATATGAATAGCCACCCAATGAGACCCCGGCTGTGAATCAGGGTCAAGATTGCATATGATAAGTGCTGGCACCTGAGCATACATCGGCAATCGATTTGAAGGATATACGTTGCTCTGGAGGCTGGGATGTATTCTACGAAGACTCATTTGCACTTCTAGTGTGTTCATACTTTAATACGCGTTTACTCCCCTACTCTTTCACTCTCTTACTGACTACATTTATTACTATCAATTCATATTTGTACCAATGTATTTAAACACACATAATATGATCTCAACATAAGTAATGAGTCTCTTTGTAAAAAAAGTAATAAAGGTAAATAAAAACCATGTCATATTCGATTACATTATATTTTATTATTCTTAATATCATAATAATTACATAAGTGATTGCTTAACTACTATAATCCACACATACATTTCTGTTCTTATCTATTTCTATAATATTTGAAAACTCTGCGTAAACTACACAGTTAATTGTTTCAGTCAATGCGCTCTCGAATCTTACTTCCATTCTTACACTACCATGGCGTACAAGATTCCAATGCACATTAGAGTTAGCCGACAAGTCAGGTGTTAAATCAAAAGCTAGTAAACAGTATCCATTTGAATATTGCTCCCTCGATATTCCATTACCTTCGTTAAGAAAATGTATACCGGTGCCTGAGTACAGGGTGTGGTATGCGCTAGTAAATACATCGTTTGGAAATGATGGTTGTAACGATTTTGAAGGTATCTGTTGACCATCTATATATAGGCTAAATGAGCAAATACCAAAATTTTCAAAGTTGAAAGGATTTTTAACATAACTACCGTTGAATGCTGTATTATTCACAAAACCTATAATACATCTCTTAGGAACCTGTCCTAAAAATATATTGTCCAGTGTTTTACCCTGCACACCAGCTGGTATGGTCAGGACTTTCACTTCACCTCTTGTAATAGGATATTTAGCCGTAGTAGTGGCAAGAACCTTTTGATGAGCTATTAGTATTGATGGATTAATTTTTGCTCTGCGTATTATTAAAGTTGCATCTGTTATACAGACTTTGTACTTATTATCTGCATTCTGTGACATGAGGTTAAATGTTTCTCTCGATCTAACTAATTTTATAGATAATTCGACCCCGTT